TTGTTTAAAAGTACATGGGGGGGGGAACCTCCTAGCTGATGCACTGTCCCACCTGCCCTGAGAAGAACCGTATTATCCACACAAGGCAATTGGCAATGCAAGTGACCACCAGGCAGCAGAAAAAAAACTGCTCCCTAGTGACGTTTTCACACAGCAGATGAAGCAAGAACTGCAATCCAATGCATGATTTGGAGGCCACCGAGGAGAGCTAATGTTGAGGGAAGAGTTGGCCTGTATGCCCCTGACAGCCTCTGACTACAAGTTCTACAGAGGAGCCATGATGCTAAGCAAGTCGGCCACTTAGGATTCTTAAAGATTTTACATGACTAAATGACAATTTAGACAGCTACATGAGTGGAGTTTGCACCAATACCAGAATGCCCGAGAGACTGTCATCAGTGATTATTGACTGATTGGGTAGACTCCATTAAAAGCACCTGGAGTTAAAAGAACAGAGAGTTAAAAGAAACAAGCAGAAAAGAAGCAAGCTATCCAGAAAACCTTCCATGTAGGAGATAAAATGTATCTATCCACCAAATACCTGAAGTTGAGGATTCTCTGAAAGAAACAAGGTCCTAATTACATATGTACTTTCCAATCATAAAAATTATTAACCCAGTTATTGTAGAACTGAAACTGCCCAGAATACTGGGTAAAGTGCACCCAGTATTTCACTGCAGCCTGCTGAAGCAGGCTCAGGGATTGAAACTGAGGCCAGTTGGGAAAGAAGCACCTGGTCCAATAATAGTGGAGGGGGAAAGACATGACGAGGTTAAGCAAATCTTAGACTCGATAGAGTCTATAAGGGGAAACTACAGTATCTAGTACAGAGGTAATTCAATAGAGAAAATGATTTGGACCAAACCTCATAACATTAGAGCAGAATGCTTAATAGGTAGATTCCATGCAAAATATCCTCAAAAGCCAGGGCCTCTTAAGCAAGCAACTGAGAAAGAAGAAATGCCTTAATATGTGTTTACTGTTTTCCAGGTTCCTTTCAGTTTTTAGTAGGATCCACCTGTCAAGTTTGAAGCTTGCTTTGCTGGTGCAACAATTACTGCTTCTTAACTTGCCAACAAACTTGGGGGGGAGGATGGGAAAATGGAATGCAGGCTGCAAAGATAAAGAAGTCAGACCGTGAGAATCAAGGACAATTCACCAGGTGCCTGAACCGACTCAGAGACATTTTCTCATAACATTTGTGACCTGTTCATAGATGGGAGGGGGGATTCTATACTTTCACTATAGGGGCTTGATCTGGGGTTTGCTAGGGCTGGTATTGCTTCATACAGTTTTACCTTAAGAGATCAGAATGTCTCGAAGGTGTTTGCTTGGTTGGGTTCGTCAGTTGGAACCTTGACATAAGTAATTTAGAATTCTTATAATCCTTTATTGTTGACTAGTTTCGGTGGAATTTATAAAAAATATAATTCAAAATATAATTCAAAATGTCTAGAAAGGTCAGGTGTTATTTACCCACTAAGTACAACTGTTCAATGAAGGAATACAAATTAAAGAAAAAACTGATAATCCACATAGTGAAGGGGAGCTCACCATTATTGTGCATTAATATAATATAAATGTGAAATTCTTGGTGTTCTCTAAGCTTGGTTGCTTGCTTGTAGATGTTTTTATTATCCAGTGATAATATCATCTAAGCAAAGAATCAAGCTCAGAGTAGTATAAAGAACTGTACAGGCCAATCATGGAATGGAATGAATATAAAATGGCACTAGTATATAAATAATTTCTTTAAGGCTGGAGTATTATTTCCCTTTGGTAATAAAATGCTGATATTTTATTGCAAGAGAATAATTTGTGGACAAATACCATTACATCAGTTCAGGGAGCTGACATCAAATATCAATAAAGGAGAGTATTTGTAGGAAAGTAATATCCCCTTGGTGCTCTCTGACCTCTAACATCAAATATGTCAAAGCCTTCCTTCCCAAATCCCACTGTAGGAGATCGCCAGCCTGAGCCTCATGGAGGGGGGTCAAATGCTTCATTAGTAACGAATCTCTGCGCACCCACAAGAGATATAAGTCCACCCACCTCCTTTATCTCCTGTTTATTTCCCTTGACCGTTAGTTGGTCAGATACTTATAGAGAGCTTAAACTTACAATAAATCTTTATACTCATTTGAACTGCCTAAATCGCTTGATTTCTCAGGCATTTGACACCTAGCTAATTTATTCAGCAAACTGCAGGAATTAATAGATTCACTTTACCCCGTTCAAAGAAAATTGTGGAAATTTTTCTTAGGATTCCTTCCTGCACAATGGAATAAACCAAGATCATGAGAATGTTTTAATTTTTCTAATGTTTTATTTCTTGCCTTTATTATTTTTCTAAATAATTCAAGACAGCAAACATACCTAATAATCTTTGGTCTTATTTTCTTTGCAACAACCCTATATACAAATTACTATATACAGTGCCCTGGAATTATACTTAATAAAAAGCAACTCAAAAATTACACTAAAGGAATCTAGGCAGACTAAATATTCTTGTTTTATATAATTCTTTAGGATGATTAAGATTGTTAAAAAAGATAAATCACACTTCCTAGTAATGTTATGGACCATGCAGATTTTTTTTAACAACAAGATAAAAGGTGCCTGGCACTACCTTCTTCCACAATGTTTTTTGACTTCCGAATCTTGCCACAATATTCTCTGGCAGTCTACTTCTTCCATCTGCTAAAGTACCAATGTAATTACAATTGAGTTTAAAACATCAGTTTACCCACACTTACACTATGTCTTCAGAGTGGGAGAACATTTGGCTCTCATTTAAAAGGCAAAAGAAGCACTTAGAAGTACTGGTAGTTTCCGTGACTTGGTTAAAAATATAAAAAAACCATAAAACTGATGATTTTTGCCTAAACATTATTTTAATAACATTAACCACTTAATAGCACAATAAATACTTTACAATAATGGTATTAATAAACCCCAATAGTTACTCCGTAACTGGGTTCACATAGCATACTAGATCAAGGATAGGTCTCTAGCTATATCCAGCCTGAAACACACCTCCGTGTTTCACCAAAAACCTACCTCTAAGTATATACCTCTCCTCTGCCTGCCCTACTGCTTTACTTTTTCTTTGGTTTTCAGAGCATTTTCCTTCTAGAATCCTATTTTTCCCTCACATCTGCAGCTCTAATTCTTTCATTGACTACCTAGTACTTTGATTTCTCTTGTGGAATCTTCCAATCTTGTATCTCTGTGTGCGTCTTCCTCTTTTCGACTTTCCATATTTCCCCTCTGATTTTTCAGTTGATTCCTACTTTTTCATTACATCAAAATGCTACTTTCTCTCCTTCCTATCCTTTCTGGGTTTCTTCTTGCTACAGATTCAAATTGCTTTACCTCTCTCCCTTCTCTTGTTTTAGCCTTTCCACATATTTTCTCCTAATATTACAACATTGTTCTCCTCTTTTTCCCAATCTTTTTTCTGTTGTCTCTTTTCTCAGCATTGAGGAGCTCCTTCTTCTTCAATCTATGAACTCGGTCCCATGACACCATCTACTGGAGGCCAAACAAACTACGGCATTTTATTTTTTTTACTCTGTAAAAGGGGTAAAGATGGAGAGAGGTCTAACAATATTTATGTACTGAAAACAAAACAATTATACACAGCGCATTTTTTAAAATGTCCCTTCTCACTTTGGAAGCGCAACTCTCAATAAGTCATGAAGCATTTAATGTGCTATTTGAACCAAGAAAAATTGTATACTCTTGAATTAGGATAAATTGGTTTAGTTTGTTCTGTTTATTATATTAAGGCAACAAGGGTTTATGGGATAGTAAGTTGTGTATACCTATGAAATTAGAGTATCTCAATAATGTCCAATTCAAGTTAAGTATGCACTAGTGTGTGGACAAAACCAACCTGTGTTTGGAAGATTAGAGCTTAAATAAAATTAGAGACTGGGTTTTCAAATTGGTTTTCTAACAGAAATTTTGGCTTATAGTATGATGGAATTAGAGGAGGGTGAAAAATAAAAAACATCAGCAGAACCATCTGAAATACAAGGTGATGTAGGACCCAGACTAATTAGAAGGCTGCTAGTTATCTCAAGCTTACAAAACCAGGATCCTTTGTTAACCCATCAAGAACATGCACTATGTAAAGGAGTCTAAACATATCAATGAATATATTTACATTTTTTACATATAAATAGCAGAACACTCTACTTCTGCAGTAAAACTGAGCATCTAATGAGATAGGTCTAGCAGTAGCAGTAAAACAAGGAGGGAAAAACCCGATGAAGTATGTGGTGTCTCTAAAGTGAACAGCCTGGGTCTGAGAAAATCATGAAGCTTTAAACATAAAATATGTCCCAAAAAGTCAAAGGTGCAAGAGACAGAAACAGGTGTGTCACAAACAAGACAGCACAAATTAGGAATGGACCTTAAGTGAAAGTATATAAGAGAAACATCTGGCTTTTTAAAACTATAAGCATCTGTTGTTAATCTATGCAACAAAAAGGCTTGTTGCATGCCTACGGCTAAAATAAAGATTTTCCGTTGCGGTCGGGATCTGAGGTGGCATCTTTTGCAACTCAACAGAGTTCATCTATGTCAAGCCTAGAAACTCAACGGCCCTAAAAGAGTTTTGGAAGATTCCCCCACCCCCCAACGGTATGAAAGCAGGTTCTTCTTGGGCGAAGGTTTGTTAAATGGAGGAGCCGCGTCTGTGTCGAAAGGCACGGCGTTGGGGACTGCTGAGAGAAGCGCCCCCTTTCCCACCGACCCCCGCCTAGCCCAGGAGGCGAGCCGAAACATGCCGGGTGGAGAACTATAAAGCCCGGGGCGGGCGGGGAATAAAGAGAAGCGTGAATAGCATCGAGCGGACGCCTAAGCCTTCCTCGGGAGCCTGGCCAGCGCCAAGGGCCTTGCGGAGGCGCTCACCAAGCCGGCAAAAGGAGACTCTCGACCACCCGCCAAAGCTCCGAAGCCCACCTCTTGCCCGCGGCTCCTTTGCTCACCTGCTGAGGAAAGGGCGAGCAGGCGCCGGAGAAGCGGTGGCAAAAGGCAGCAGAGACTGAGCGAATCGCCCTCCGGCTCCCGACTTTCCTCATTCAGCACCGGGAGTCGCGTATCTGAGGAGGGAGGGAGGGAGGGAGGGGAGGAATCTCCCTTCACACACGAGCGCCGCTCAGGACGGGAGGGGAGGAAAAGCAAGAAGGACGCATGCGCATACCATTCCCTTCTCCTGGAATTCGGCTTGCTGGGAAAAAAAGGCGCGCAGGCGCCGACCGCTTGAGTTCCAATGCGAGTCTATATAGGCCTAAAATCGAAGGCGAGAACGCGTGAGCGCGTGGACCGCATTGCGGGGTGAGGGTTCCATTGGTCATTGCCGAGACTTCCCCCGCCCTTTACCCCTCCCGGTATGGTTTGAACGGGGGGGCAACGGCAAAGTCAAACGGTTCTGCTGGAGTTGCTCCCGCTCGAAAGGAAAACGCTCCCCCCCATTAGGAGGGGGAGTAGCCGCGTGAAGGCGGCCGTTGTCTCCTCGGCATCCTCTGGCCGGCGGCTTTATCTTCCAATTAAGGAAGGGTTTCTTTCTCCCGTTCCCATTTGTCTGTCTTAGAGGAATTATATTGGAATTGGATAGGCCTCGCCTCGCTCGCCATTTGGTCTCCTTGTGTCGCTCTGGGTGCGAGAAGGTGGCAAAGAAACGCGCACGTGGCTGTAAAACCCTAAAAAGAATACAAATACAAAAAAGCCTTTCAGCGAGGTCCGTTTTAAAGAAGGTAGATTTCCCAAATAAATTTTTTCGGGGAGGCACACTTTGAATCTAAAAAGCGCTCGCAACCGAGATGCAGGTTAAAAGAGGCCCAACTGCATCGAGTGTAGCAGTACCGTATTGCGCTATATTTTATTCAAGCACACGGATTTTTCTGAACGCTGAAAGCTAGTGGATGAAGTATTCACCTATTTATCAAGTACAGGAATACTGCAAAGTCCCGTGTTGTGTGGCTTTCACCTGGCCATGGAGAACCTGGAACCCAAAGGTTCCAATCCACCATGTGCCTTGGAAACTAGACCTGGGTGACTTTGGGGCTATTCTTTCTCAGCCTTTTAAGTACATCTGGTACGGTAGTTGTAGGGGGTGGGGGGAAGGAATAAAATCCATTACTGAATGAAAGGTGGGTTATAAACCACATGTCTAGAATACTTGACTTATGGTGTGGTTAATTTTTTTTTCTAGAAATGTGACATGCAAATCGTTGCTATTTTATAGAGGAAAATAACTGAATTGCCAAATATGTTGAAAAAATACATTAGACTTATTTTTTAAATAATGGCTGTAGTTGAAGGACATAGCACTGCATATCATACTTTTACATAATTACAAAGCCATCAGTCCTTCCCTGTTGCACTGGATCATCATTCAAATAGAGGAATTATTCTGCCTACTCCCTAAATTCTAGAGTTTTATGTGCTAAGTTCGTGATACATCTGTCCTCTTGTTTAAATCCTTACCATATGTTTTCCTATACACTTTAATAATCCTGGGTAGTAATTAATCAGCTAGGGTAGAAAACATCTGTTCTTTTTCATTTCTTTTTAACTATAGTTTTGTTGTTAAAAGTCCTGCTTTTTAATAAGTTCAAGACCATCCAAAAATAAATTTTTATATAACCTAACTTACGAATGTTTGCTCTGCAATAACATAAAAAGATTATTTTTGGATGGATTATGCAAATGACAGAATTAGAGATGTATTTATTGGATAGCTGAAGGACATAATTAGAACTAGAGAGTATCTTTATCCTCAGTTTTTCACTGTTTTGTATCTTCTATATATTGCTCTGTGCTGTTCTTTAATCTGTTTTCTTTCAAATTTCTCTCTTTTGTTTTTATTTCTCCTCCCAACAGTTGAATTAATTCAACTTTAACATACAATTCAGATTTAATGTCTAGCTGTGTTTTGACAGCACTTGACTTCTTCAACTTAGCTTTCAGGGTGTGCAAAACATTGAATGTAAACTCACATAAAGAACATGAAATATAGTTGCTTGATTTGTAATTCTAATGTCAGTTATATTGGATTTGATCACAATTAAATTTATAAAGTACAATAGCAGGAAGCACTAGCAGGAAAATACATTTTAAATTTTATATGTCTTTAAGAGGATGGCTATAGCTTATGTATTATTTTTCATTGAACTGAAAATCTCATATAAAGTTATAAATGATTGAACTACTTTAAGCAATAAGCTCTTACAGCCAATGTAGATTGATAAGGCTAACCTTACTGATTGGGCTATTTCACATGCATATTAAAATATATGTTGAAGAGAATGTTTCATTTAATGATTGCATAAATACTTAACTTTAAACAACATCCCTAAGATTCTGTAGCTAAACTGATACCTAAGAACCATTAATTCCCAGGGCTAATGTTAACAGCTCCCAGATTCTTCTTTTTTTTTTTTTAATCCTCTGCAGCTAGCTTGCACTTTTGCAGTTAATACTTCTTATTACTGCTGGCATGAGGATTCCAGGCATCTTATAGCTTGCAGCTGAATTTGCAGTGCAGTTTATTTAAAAACAAAAACAGGAATTAGGATCTAAAATTGAACCCTTAAAATTTTTTTCCTGCAATTTCCCTTTCTGAGTTTAAAATAATTGTATTATTATTGAAAGTTCTGTAGTGATTTTAAATAGTTTTAATTCTCTTTTATTGCCTAATATGGTTCCTTCCCCATACTATTAATGGTTAGCTATTAATTGCTTTAGGAATTTGTTGCAATGTAAAAAATATTTTTATATTGTGCTAGTTTTTAATTGTATTGGATCTTGGACTTTAATTTTTTCATTTGAGGGTTATATAAAACCCAAAAAATTTTCTTGGGAAATCAGAGCAACTTATGAAATATTTCTCCCAGGCAAATCCAATAATGATTAAAATTAAAATTGATTTTAACAATGAAAAACTAAAAAACATAGCTTTGGTGGTGTTACAGGTTATGTGAAAAAGCATTGCATTTTTTAAAAAGTGGGCATTTTGTTCAGTTTTCCTACCTTTATAAGCATGGAAACAACATTGATGCTGCAATTAAGATACACATTTTCTCTTTGGCTATGGTTAATAAATCCAAGAGTTTTCTGTTTGCTTGTGCAATAGTCTTTTAGTAGGTAAATTGTTTTCATCCTGCAGAGTTTTAAATCTAAGGTATTAGTAAAAAAAAAAAAATCCCAACTTTACTGATACATCATGTAAAATATTTTCAATTTCTCCAATGCCCAGCCTGGGGAATAAAAGTCCTTAAAAATTATAAAAACCCAATTTTCTGATTACTAAAATAGAAAACCTTCCAGAAATAGTTCTCCAAGTCCTACAGGTGGAAAGTCGCCAGATTCAACCTGAAATCACACCTTAGTCAATAGAAATGTATAGAGGCTTCCCTTTATATGAAAAACTAACTGCCCATGACTTATCCAATAGATTCTAGATCCAGATCCAATAGAACAATATACAGAGCTCAGGGTTGAACTGTGGAGCAGCCAGCAATGAAAAAGGGGAAACTTAATATAGCTGAATCATTAAATTTAAACCAAATTGGATAACATCAATCTCATTAAATGTAAATGGACCCAATTTGTCTAATGAAAGATTTTAACAAGCTCAAAATACATAAAGCAAGACTGTTGATTTATTAAATGGGGAAAAAATAAGTCAGGAATATATGGTATCGGGAAAAGCAAAGAAAAATAGTTAATATTAAATCACCTTCCTGGAAACTATTGGAACAATTAATGAAGAATTATATTCCAGAAACTAAGAAATGGATCAATATAAAAGAAAACAAAAGTGATATTGCCATAGTTGTTTATTAAAGACCACCCACCCAACCAGATGAAATAGACGAACTCTTTTCCAACCAACTAACAAATGCATGCAGGAAGCACACCACAGTAGTAAAGGGAGACTTCAACTACCCAGATATCAACTGGGAGACAAACTCTGCAGTGAGCTGGAGATCAAACAGATTCCTAACCAACCTAGCCGACAACTTTGTCACTCAAAAGGTGGAGAAGGGAACTAGACGTAAAGCTATACTGGACTTAATCCTTACAAACAAGAAGTGATAGAATCGAAATTACCGGAACCCTGGGCAAAAATGAGCACATTATACTAGAATTTAACATAATGCAAACACCAGCAATAAAAAATAATCCAACCAAGGTCCCAAACTTCAAAACAGCTGACTTAAACTAAGAGAGAACCTAGGAAAAATCCCATGGATGAAAATCCTAAAGGGGGAAACAACCCAGGAAGTGTGGGAAACCCTGAAAAATGTGATCACAAAAGCCCAAACCAGCACAATACCAATGAGAAAGAAAAACAAGAAATCCAAGAAGAAACCAGCATGGCTGCACAAAGAACTCACTAACAAACAAAAAGACAAAAAGAACAAATACAAAAAATGGAAAGGGCTCATAAAGCTGATTACCAGCAGACAGGCAGAGCACGCAAAGACAAAGTCAGGAAAGCAAAGGTCAGAACGAGCAAAAGCTAGCAACAGAAATCAAGGACAATAAAAAAGCTGCTTCCAACATATTAACAAGAAAAAAAATCAAGGAAATTGTAGGCCTGCTAAAGGGAGAAGATGGCAAAGAAATTAGGCAACAGGGAGAAAGCAGAGCTGCTTAACCCATAGTTCATGTCAGTGTTCACACAAAAAGAAACTACAGCCCAATACACCAAAAAAAACCACTGAAAAAGACATACTAGAACTAAAAATTAAAATAAGCAAGAAAATGGTAAGGGAGCACCTATCCAACCTTGATGAATATAAATCACCAGGACCCGACAGAGTTCTGAAAGAACTGGCAGAAGTAATCTCAGAACCGTTGCACCACATCCTCTATAAATCCTGGAGCACCAGGAAGTACCAGAGGATTGGAAAAGAGCTGATGTCCCCATCTTCAAGAAAGAAAGAAAACGGACCCAGGAAAATACAGACCAATCAGTTTAACATCAATACCTGGGAAGATCCTAGAAAAGATTATCAAAAAACAGATCTGCGAACAACAAAAAGCAAACAAAGTCATAACTAGTAGCTAGCACCATTCAAATATAGATCATGCGAAACCAATCTCATCTCATTCTTTGATAAAGTCACTAAACTAGTAGACCAGCGAAACTCAGTGGACATAATATACTTAGACTTCCATAAGGCATTTGACAAGGTAGACCACAACCTACTCCTTGGTAAACTAAGAAAAGATGGGATAGACAACATCACTACCAGATGGCTCTAACTGGCTAACAAACCATACTCTATGAGTAGTCCTCAATGGTACTACATCCACATGGAGAGAAGTAAGCAGTGGGGTACCATAAAGTTCCATCTTAGGCCAAGTACTCTTCAATATCTTCATCAATAACTTAGATGAGAGAATAGAAAGGGAACTCATCAAATTTGCAGATGACACCAAACTAGTAGGAGTAGCCAACACCCCAGAAGACAAACTTGGGATCCAAAAAGATCTTGACCAACTTGAACAATGGGCCCTATCCAACAAAATGAGTTTCAATGTGGAAAAAAGCAAAGTCTTACATTTAGGCAGGAAAAAGCAAAGGAACAAATACAGATTGGGTGAGACCTGGCTCAAAAACAGTAACTGTGAGAGGGACCTTGGAGTCCTAGTGGATGATCACTTGACTATGAGCCAGCAGTGTGCAGCAGCAACCAAAAATGCTAACACAATCCTGAGTTGTATAAACAGGCATGGAATCAAGATCATGAGAAATACTATTACCACTTTATAAAGCCCTAGTAAGACCACACCTAGAATACTGCAGCCAATTCTGGTCACCATACCACAAAAAAGATATTGAGAGTTTGGAAAAAATTATAAGAAGAGCAACTAAGATGATCGGGGCCTGGAGTCTAAAACATATGAAGAATGGCTATGGGATTTGGGTCTGGCTAGTCTAAGGAAAAGAAGAAATAGGGGCAACATGATAGCAATGTTCCAGTATCTGAGGGGCTGCCGCAAGGCATAAGGGGCCAGGTTGTTCACTAAAGCACAAGATAGAATGACAAGAAACAATGGTTGGAAACTGACCAAAGAGAGAAGCAATCTGGAACTAAGGAGAAATTTCCTGACAGTGAGGACAATCAACCAATGGAACAGCTTACCTCCAAAAACCGTGGGCGCTCCAGCACTGGAGATTTTTAAGAGACTGGACATCCACCTGTCTGAGAAGATATAGGTTCTCCTGCTCGAGCAGGGGGCTGGACTTGAAGACCTCCAAGATCCCTTCCAGCTCCTATTCTATTCTATTCTATTCTATTCTATTCTATTCTATTCTATTCTAGTTATTCTAAATAAAGGTAAAGTTTTAACATTAGCATCCTGTTATTCTCCAAATAAAGATACTGATAAAGCCATTTTGAGAATTAAACCAGGAAAACTTTTGGTGTATTAAATCAGAAAAGAGGAGGATGATAACATCGATAAATGAAATAAATTGTTATATACAAGATGGAAATAATAGAAAAACAGATTTTTCCCCAAGAATTCTAAGCATAAAATAAACAAGAAATATTTAAAAACATGCATTAAAGAGTCAGAAGTTAAAGAATTCACAGGAGAACACAAATATTAAACAACCCTTTTACAATTCAAGCGATTAAAGAAACAATAGAGACTTAAAACTGAAAAGGTACCAGATCAGATGGACTTACAGCCAAACATCACACAAATTTAGAAAACATAATTTTATGCTTTGAAAAACGAAATGAACTGAAGAAACCTCAATCATATAGACCAGACATGTCAAACACAAGGCCCGGGGGCCAGATGCGGCCTGCAAAGTGGTTTCATGTGGCCCGCAAAGCCATCCTAGAAACGGAACGGCCCCCGCTGCCTTGGCCCTGGCCCAGACAGGCTGGGAGCCAATGTGCAATTTTGTGGTGGCCATCTATGCTGAAATGCATTCAGTCTTAGCTCTACAAGGCCGTCTAGAAACAGCGAGGAACCAGCCCCTGCCGTATCGGCCCCGCCCCCTGGGTGCATGCTGGGGAAGTGTCACCCTTTGTGAAGAATGAAGAAATGGACCATGCCTTGGCGCTTGCCCTGGTCCCACCCCCTTTTGCCAGAGACCCTCAGATCTGTCCCACTCCTACCTTGGCCCCCTCAGGCACCCTTGACGCGAACGATGTAGAGCTGGCCATGCCCAGCCAGTAGGCCACACCTACTCCATCCACGCCCACCCAGTAGGCTGCACCCACCCCGGCCACACCCACCCGGCCTCCTGAGGCAACTGCAATGCTGAGGCGGCCCTCAATGAAATTGAGTTTGACACCCCTGATATAGACTGTTTCTTTGTTGAAATTTGATTATAAGATATTCACTATATTAGCTGTACATGTAATGAAATTCATTCCCAAATTATACCTAGAAAGTAGATAGGTGACATTCCAGAAAGAAAGATGACGGATAATGGCATTTAATATTAGAATATATTAATTAGAAAATAAATTAGCAATAATATTTTTAGGCATGGAAAAAGTCTTTGATAAGTTGGAATAGAGCTTTCTAAATATAATGACATGGATAAAACAAATACACATGAAAATGAATGAGGCAGTGGAACCACAATGCTCAACAACTAAGATTTTGAGAAAGCTTTGCTTTTCCTCTTTCACTAATTTTTTTTAAAATGATCAAGCTTAGATCTCATACTGCAATTGAATGTGGCAGAGCATGTCACCTTGAAAAATACATTCAATAAGATCCCTGTGTCCTTCAGAATTTGCACTAACTTTAGCCTCAAAAGTGTAAGAAATGGGCAAATTTAAGCAAAAAAACCCCCAAACAATAACTTCATTTGCAATATTTTTCCGAAGAGTTCTCCAGTGAAAGATCAACCAACCAACAAAAAACTATTAATTTAAAAGCCAGGGGACTTGTTAAAAAGATTTAAAAACAAATCAAGATTCCAGTAGCAACTTTTGCATATACTGGAGCAAGCAAACAAACAAAAGGAATTTGGCCTATTATGTTTTGTAAGATGGATTTCCCAAATTTAATCAAAAGTTATATGCCAAGTCATATAACTCACAATTTACAATACATCAGTAAGATAGAACAATTCACAGTAATAAAATATGTTATTTTTGTGTGGAATTAACAGATAGGTAAGTGAACCCCAGTGTTTAAATACTGATATTGAAATAATTGCTCCAGAACAGGTGTTTCAAACTGCCGGTCCATGGGCCAGATATGTCATGCCAAAACCATACCCATCCCAGCTTCAGCAATGGGGGAAAAGTCGTGATATGTTGCAACATGTCACGTGACATTGCGAGTTTGACACCTGCTCAAGAACAACTGGGAGCATAAATATTCTGCAGTCTTTGTCAAATAATAAACTACTAAAACCTATGGAAAATTAGGGCTCAATCTATCAAGATTGCCACACTTTATAAACATTGAAAGGACATTACTATATTCTGTCAGGTTGCTACTTGTCTGAGGCTTACTGTCATAATATTCTTAAAGGACATCCCCATCAGGAAGATTGAGAAGAACTGTCATTGTCTCTTAAGCCAATAACATGGAATTCATTTTTCTTAAAAGATTTTAAAGTTACTTCTATCTAGTGTTTAAACTCTGCACTGATATTATCCAAACAAATCATGATACGGCATGTAATTAAAATAGGACATTTTCAAAAGAAAACATCTCTAAGCTGCCTACAACTCAGAATTGAATATAAGAACTTACAAATGCAATTTGCCTATGACACATTAGCTGCAAAGCCAGCAATGCAGATTTAAAACCAGTATACTAATCTCCTGAAAAGTGAGAACTCCAGAGTTATGGTAGCACAAATGAGGAAAACCTATAGCAATAAAGCCTGGAGAATAGTTTCTGAGAAAGATCTTACTTAATCCTTAGATAAGGTCATGAAAAATGACTCATTAACAGGTGCATTTAAGTTATTTACAGCTTCAAAAATCAATGCCAATGCTTAAACTTTATATATTACTTTTTAATAATTGAATTCCACCCTTCTGTTGCAATTGTAATCCTTAGAGCATCTTTTAACTATGCTTGGAAATGGACCAGGAACCAACTTAGCTTTTTTAAAAAAAACTAATGTAATCTTACCATTGTAATTTCAACTAACACAGTGTTTCTCATCCTTGGCAACTTTAAGAAGTGTGGATTAGAAGTTGAAGTCCACACATCTTAAAGTTGCCAGGATAAGAAACACTGTGCTAACTGAAGTTCTGCATGGTGTACAGAAAAGCCATTACAATAATTTCCTCTGCTGCTCTCAAAGCATTGTTATCCTATGCCAGGATTTTTAGTTCTGGAAGATATAGAGCTAGTATATCACTAATAACTTGTTTCACGCCATAGGAACTACCTAACAATTCAAGGATATTTATGGAATTTCAAGGAAATATGCAAAATCTCAAAAGTTCATTCGTACTGTGAAAGTGAACCCTTATGGGGAATGCATCTATGCCCAGAGTAAGTAAACTCTCTCATCCAACACCAACTTTTTGGGAGTGAACAATAGTTTTTTTTTTTTATTTTGTGCACTGCCATTCCATGGCATTATCCTGGTTGAACTTCACGTATCACAGGTTGACAAGGTTTTGCAGAACTAAATAGTTCTACTATAGCCTTGTCTTCACTATAGGTAGTCCTCAACTTAAGACCACAATTGAGCCCAAAATTTCTATTGCTAAGAGAAACATTTAAGTGAATTTTGCCCATTTTACAACCTTTCTTGCTACAGTTAAGTGAGTCACTGCAGTTGTTAAGTTAGTAATATGGTTGTTACGTGAATCTGGCTTCCCCATTGACTTGACTTGTCAGAAGGTCACAAAAGGTGATCCCATGACCCCAGGATACTACAAACATCATAAATATGAGTCAATTGCCAAACATGTAAATTTTGATCACATGACCATGGGGTTCTGCAAGAATCAGAAATGTAAAAAATGTCATATGTCACAATTTTCAATATCATTGTAACTTTGAACAGTCAAGTGTAAGTCAAGGACTACCTACCTCTTTTTAGTTTATCACAAAGCACTGTTGTGTAATGTGTAGTCCATGGAATATTGCAAGGAAAACCAATTTTGTACTCTTACCATTTTATTTCTTGGGATTTATTTTGCTAACTAGGCTGTTCTCACAATTGTACTATCCTGAAGTCATTACTGGCTTCATTGTTACAGAAGACATATCCAGGCACGACTATTATTTATTCAGATAAAAAAATCTAAAATGAGCAGAATTGAAAAGTTGAATGTCTTTTTACTTTATTTATCTGTCCCATAGAAGCAAAACTGCAGACAAGTCTTATCTGATTAAAAATGTTGTAATTTGTTAGTAGAGCCTTAGTAATATTGCTTCAATATGATCTAGGCCAGCGTTCTCCAACCTTTCTGGCTTTGTGGAGCAGTGAGGGGGGGGGGAAGAGGGGATGGTTCTGTGTGTATCCGCCTCTCGCACAAATGGAGCTTTGCATGCACTTGCCCACTGCTTGTGCAAGTACAGCTGCACTCATGCACAAACATGTTCACCCTCCACTTCTGGGCCCATTTCCAAATAGGCTAAGGTCCAGTAGTGGGCTGCGGCCCAGTGGTTGGGGACCCCTGGTCTAGGCTATGAGTTTCCCAATGGCCATTTCACTCCAGTTGCTTTGGTGATGCTTCCCTGCATAGTATTACAACATTTTCATTAGTAGATCTACAATGATCAGTCTTGTGTTCCAGCCAGCAAGGTATCCCTGCAAGGGAGGAGGGATCCTGCTTAAAATTTTGCATTGTGGTCCAAGATTTGAATAATAAATTTTAATGATTTATTTATATTTCCTATTTCTTAATCGCCCTTCTCCCTTAAAGGGGGGCATTTACACCCACATCTTCTATAATCCCAGTAAATGTACAAAATGTTTTCACCTCATCACCTTGCTGATTCTCAAACTGTTTTTGAAGCAAATATGATTATTGTTTCCTTAGTGTAGTTAAGTGTTTTTTGGGGGAGGGGTTATAATTGGTATGTTGAAAAAGAATTATATCTATATCCATATATATCTATGAAGGGATAGAAGAAAGATATGAGCCCCTGCCTGGTTGGTGCTTCTTTGGGGCCTTTAAGCAATTAGAGGCTAAAGAGCATCTGGCAATTCCCGTCCTACCTGTTGACACTGGAGGCCTCTGGAGGATTGGCAGAGAAGAAGAACTAAACTATGACTGCTAGTACACCAGTCAAGTCTTTGGAAGCTGGCGGTACAGTGCAGTAGCAATGATGGAGCTAGCAGTGTTGGAGATGCTTGGCAGCCAGTCTTTGTGAAAGATGCAGTGGTGGCAATAGTGGTGGATCCTTCTCAGAGGTGAGACATTTGGATGTAGTAGAATGGTTATTTTTTTAAAAAAAGTGGGTGGACCATACAAGGGTGCTTGGTGGGCCACGTGTGGTCCGCAGGCTGTGTGTCGTACAGGCTCTGTTGCACATGCATTTGCATGTAATCTTTTTTGGGCCTGCCTTGTACATTTGAAAAGTGTGATGTCTGAATTTAGTCTCATTTCCCTCTCAGATTCCTCCTCCTCAGAACATGGAACAAAGCATTATCTGCCAAGCCCACCTATATAAAACACAACTGTCTCGACTTTGTTATTTTAGGAGCTGCAATTCTGGCCCTTTTGAGTAAGTCAGCATCTAGAGAAAAACATTGTAGGAGCAGCAGGCTGGGATTGCTTTGGTGAATAAATCTCCTGTGATGTCACTGGCATTATCACCAAATGCCCATAATTCTGAGAATCGTGTTCCATTTTCTCCCCACTGCATACTAGTACAGTAGACCTATTTACTTACAGTGTGGTTGTTAGCTTTCCTGCCACATAAATAGTCTGAATGCTGGAGAAATGAACATCCCTACACCAAAGACATTCAGCTGTGAACAGTTCTCTGGATTCATTAAAAAGCAATGAATAAGTAACAGTTGATTTGAAAAAAAAAAAAAACAGAAAAAACAAGAGAAAAAAATAGATTTACCACAATAGTAAAAAATGCTCTAGGTCCATCTAGTGGAAGGAGAGAAAAAAATTAAGTTACAAGTTTTTGTAGAATGATGCATGAGGAGGAAAAAAAAGGTTTCCTTGCAAAGGACAAATAATTTAACTGAAGTTTATTGTAAATGTCAAGGCACTAAGACAGGCCACCCATTAATTTGCAACCTGTGGGCCTATCAGTGAGAATCTCTTGAGTTCTAGGAATTCTGAGCTAATATTTCCAAAGGTATACACAATGCCATCAAAACCAGCATACTTTGAAGGGTACTACTTGTTCTTCTGAAAATGTCAGCCGTGAATTATCATGATTTTGCAGTGCTTCCATCCACGAACTATAATATCATCTTGACTTTCATCTCTCAAATAGCTATTCCTGGGAGCAGAGAAAGCTGATTGAATACAGAGTAATGTGTATGGGAACACCTCTCAGGACCTTGGAGATGCCCACATACACACGAAACAATTTAGTACTGTAAAATGCATCTATTCATTCTGTCTTTGGTGTATCAAGAACTCATTTCTTTTCTGAGTACTCATCTCTTTAAAATTACTTTGCCTTTATCTTTTTAGTACACTGATGACAGATTAATAGAGTGCTTAGAATTCTTTTTGCTATTTCCTCCCAAACAAATCTTCATCATATCGCTTATGTTCCAAAAAAAGTATGGGTTGTTGTTAACATATATAACCTGCCTTTCCTCTGTGAGTTCATAAGGGGGTTTGGAATCTTCATATTATCTTTACAATAACTCTGAAAAATAGATTGGGCTGGAAGGCAGTCATTGGACCAAAACAAACCAGGCATTTCCACCCAGCTCTATTATCACCTCAGAACTATTCTTATAATGTCTCACAATTGTCTTGATCTGAATCTGAAGGAATAGCAAGAAGAGACCCCTTTCATTAGACTCAGATGTCTACCCTTGACCAGAGCTCCCCAGCCTTCCTTCTTGTCTCTGTTTGTTTTCTTACAATAAAGGGACAGAAGATCCAAACTAGTTTGTCTCACTGGGAAGAACAGCCCCAGCAATTGGAGGTTGGAAATGACAGAGTTTTAGACTTATTAAACTTATTCACTTGGTTCATTATTCAATATACATAGTAATGCATTGTTGTCAATTTCTTGTTTTTCATCATTTGGAGCTATGATGCCAGCCACTATTTCCCAGGGGAAAGAAAAATATGTATTGAACGTTGTCATATGAGAAGCGGGAGTCTGAAATTATTTGCAAAGCACTTTCTCTTTCAATATAATACTCCAGGTTCATTGCTATTTGGCATAATAAACTTAGTCAGTATTTACTTATCTAAACAGATAAACAGAATGACCAGAGACAGGCAAAAAAAGCAATGGGAGCGGGAGCAACTTTCAACTTTCTGCTGGCTTCCCCCTTGATTTTGCTTGTGGGAAACATCATGAGTTGAGGGATTGGATCCAGACTTAATCCACTATTCTACATATAGAGAAAAATTCCTTTGTTTTTGATAACAAAATTCCATCCTTAGCTACATTTGTTCTTGATGGGAAAGAAAAAACTGTCAACCTAATTTTAGTCTAGATCTAAAACAAAGGGAAGGAATAGCAAGAGCAAAAAATATCAGAAGGAGAGGAATGGACAATGCAGCTGCTGATGACAGATGTCAGACCAATTTTTGGGCATGACTCCATAGTATTTATCATGGAGTCCTGTCTCCTTGTTTCCTCTCCTCTCCTCATGGCTCACGCAGATAAGAGACTATTGTGATGTAGGGAAGTGCTGACCATTTCTCTAAGTCTAGCCAAGTAGGACTGAGCAGAGTTTTGTAGGAAATATAATTTGTGAATTGGAATGGCCAGAGTTTGAGTTTCACTTTACATTGGCTAATACTGGGAAAGTAAGGAATAGGAAATAGGGATTGCCACAAAGAAGAGGGAGTTAATCTATTCTCCAAAACACCTGAAGGCAGGGCAAGAAGCAATGGATGGAAACTAATCGAGGAGAGAAGCAACCTAGAAATAAGGAGAAATTTCCTGACAGTTAGAACAATTAATCAGTGGAATAACTTGTGCCCAGAAGTTGTGAATGCTCCAACACTGGAAGTTTTTAAGAAGAAACCGGACAACCATTAGTCTGAAATGGTGTAGGGCTTGATGCCTGAGCAGGGGGATCGACTAGAACAGGGCTTTTCAACCTTTACACCAATTGTACCACTTTTAGGATATGGCACTATTCAAGTACCACCAGTTGCCTAGCAAGATGTCAAAAACTTGATGACCAAAAAAAAAAAAAAAAGGAAAAAAGTGATAAAGTACAGGTAGTCCTCAACTTACAATAGTTCGCTTAGTGACTGTTTGAAGCTACAACGGCACTGAAAAAAGTGACTTATGACCATTGCAGCATCCCAAGGGTCATGTGATTTACATTTGGATGCTTGGCAACTGATTGGCAACATTTGGATGCTTGGCAACTGATTCATATTTATGATGGTCACATTGTCCCAAGGTCATGTGATCCCCTTTTGCAACCTTTTGACAAGCAAAGTCAATGGGGAAACTAGATTCACTTAACAACCATGTTACTAATTTAACAACTGCAGTGATTCACTTAACAAATGTGGTAAGAAAAGTCGTAAAATGAAGCAAAACTCATTTAACAAATTTCTCACCCCTTCTTTTATATCCTCTCCTCTCTCCCTCCTCCTTTTATATCCTCTCCCCCCCTCTCTTTTTATATTAGGGTGTCAAACTTGATTTCATTGAGGGCCACATCAGCATTGTGGTTACTGTTGGGGGGGTGGCCAGCTCAAAATTGCTCAGGTCGGGGGCGCCAGTGGAGGGGATCTGGGGGTCTCTGGTGGAGGGACTTAGGACTGGGGTGGGTGCCAGGGCATGGTCCATCGGAGGAGCCTTGCCACCTCTCTTGGGCTGTGAGGGGAGTCCCAGACAGTGGTATGGACTGCCCAGAGCCCTGGGCAGCAGAGGGCAAGTGCCCAGCCCAGCTCTCGAGTTCCCAGGGCACCAGGACCCCACAGCCCAACCCAGTCCACCCCCACTTCCCCGAGGGGGCATCCAGCTGTGCTATCTCCTCGAGGCTGCTGCTGCTGTGCTCACTCTCCTTGGCCAGGTTGCTCATGATGGGTGCAAGAGGCCCACTCCTTCTCCTTAGCAATAGGATGGGAGACCACCAGGATAGGCCAGGAGGAGGGGGCAAGGCGATGGTGAAAGAATAGAAGGGTTGCTGTTGGCCAAGTGCTAAGGGTTTCCTCAAACCCTCCCGCTCTCTCATTCCAATCTCCCTCCTCCCTCCCTCCCTCCCTCCTTCCTTCCTCCCCTGTCTCCCTCCTCATTCCCATCTCCTTCTTTCTCTTCTCTTCTTCCTTTTACTTCACTGCTTCTCTCACAAAAAGCCTTTTCTCTCTCTCTTTCTCACTCACACGTCGCTCCAAAATCCTTCTCATTCTCACTCACACTTCCCTCCAAATCCTTCCCTTTCTCATTCACACGTCCCTCCAAATTCTTCCCATTCTCATGCACACGTCCATCCAAAATCCTTCCCATTCTCAAGCACACGTCCCTCCAAATCCTTTCCATTCTCATTCACATGTTCCTCCAAAATCCTTACCATTCTCATTCACATGTCCCTCCCAAATCCTTACCATTCTCACGCATGCATCCTTCCAAATCTTTACCATTCTCACTCACACACCCCTCCAAATCCTTCTCATTCTCATTCACATGTCCCTCCAAATTCTTCCTATTCTCACGCACACATCCCTCCAAATCCTTCCCATTCTCACGAACACATCCCTCCAAAAGCCTTTCTTTCACTGCTTCTCAGACAAAAGCCTTTTCCTCTTCTGACTCTTTCTCTGGCATCTCTTTTTTTTTTCTCCTCCTCCAGCCAAAACTGCCTCCTTTTATAGCCTCTCCTGTCTCTGCCCCACTCTTCCTTTCTTTTCCGGATGAGCTGGAAGTGCTGATCCTGGGGCCTTTGTCTTACCCCAGCAGCCTCACAGCTCCTGAGGATTCTCTCACGGCAAGTCCTGAGCTGCACCACTTTGGCTCATTCCCTCCCCCGGTACACTTGGCTAGGTTGGGCAGGGCCACGTACCACCTGCCAGGTGCCAGTGTACCACTGGTGGTAAAAGTAATAGCAATGAGCTTTGCTCTTTGCTAAATCAGGAAACTGGGATGTTTCCTAAGTAGAATAAATAGCCACTTGTAGATATTTGGATATTGTAAGCTCATGTCTCTAGTTTGTTTGAGGTATTGCTTGTCTCTTCTAACTGCATTCCAGTCTCTTCGACAAGGTTTACTTACATGTCTGCATAGATTTGATATGGCAAGCCTCCTCCACTGCTTGTCGCTGTTTTTCATTATTAGGCAGAAGATGTTATATCTTTAAGTAAGCTTTTTAAGATGATTTCTTGTACGTATAAGATCACAATTCTGTGTCAATGCTGCTAACATTAGATGTTCTTGCTTTGACAACAGATGGAAATGCAGCCATTTTCTCTATTGCTTTTAGAATTAGTTGCTACTGGGAGGGGGAATAGGATGAGAGTCTAGCTAGTCATAACAATAATACTTAGTTGTGGGACCCCAAGGACATTGGGCCCAGAGCTGATAGTGTTTTGGCAGGCTGGAGAGCTGAGGAGAAAGCCCGTGCTTCAAGCTAATTGGAGAATGTGATTTATGACTGTTTATTGGAGGAGGGAGTTGCACTTTGTTACTTTGTATCCAGGGGAGAGGAATTTAGTTTCTGGTTTCAACTATGTAGTGCCGATACTTTGTTTCTCGAATAAAAGATTCTTTAAGGTAAACAATGCCTTGAAGTTTTTGTTGTTTTTATTGTTTTAATCTGTTTAGTTTTATAGTTTTAATATGATTTTATTTGGGTTTTAAATTTTGATTGGGAGTTGCCCAAAGTTAGTTAGAAGATGGCTTTGTAAATGTTTTAAATAAATAAACACACCACATAGATAGACGTTCTCCAGGACACTTCAGATCTTAAAATGGTGCACTCATTGCTTTTGTAACTGATTCATCAACTTTGCTGCTGGTCATCCTCTTTTTCTCTTTTCTTTCATTTTTCTCAGTGTTATCAACTTCTCCAGACAGCTAGGTCTTAACATATTGAGTCCAAGATGTAATAATTTAAGCCTGGTCATTTGTGCCTTGGAAAGAACTCTGGATTGATTTGTTGGATGATCGATTTGTTTGTTTCCTTGACTATCCATAATATTCTCAGGAGTCCTTCCTAACACCAAAGTTCAAAAGCATCAATCCTCTTTTCTGTCCTGCAAATTCAAAGTCCAGCTGTTGCTTTAACAGAGTGTACATGTAGTTTCCTTGGTAAAATAAGGAATATTTTGCTTTCTCCCACACGGTGTGAATTGATGCCTTTGACATTGTCACTAGAGTGATTGTCTGTCTTCACCATCTTCCTATATTGTTGCTTCTCAATACAGGAGCCATCTAGATTTAGCTAGGCATCTGGGATTAGCTTCTTGATGTTCTTTGCTCATTCCTCCCAGAAACAGCCCCTGATGCCCCCAATAAGTTTATAACGAGACAGCAAGCAGGACTTGGGAGATGGGGTGGGGGTGACAGAACCCAGAGAGAATGTTTGACGTAAATTCTGTTTATTAATCTTGGAACCTGCTAATGCACCAAATTCTTTTAATCTGCCCATTAATGTTTCAAATACTTTTACAGGATCTTCCAAAACCAATGCTGAGTCATCTACAAAAGTCCTTAACTTAAAAGTTTCTTTAAATATTTACTCTCACAATCCTGCTGTTGTTGTTCATTTGCTAAATTGTGTCCAACTCTTCATGACCCCATGGACCATAGTATGCCAGGCTCTCTTGGCTTCCACTGTCTCCCTGAGTCTGCCCAAACTCATGCCCACTGCGTTGACGGCATTATCTAACCATCTTATTCTCTGCTGTCCGCTTCTCCTTTTGTCCATAATCCTCCTCTTCCCTTGTCTTATATCTCTATTCAGTATTTCAAGAACCAAACGAAACAGTGGGAATTTCTGTCTTGTTCCTTTTTTAATCTTATTGGTTTTTGTTAGATCTCCATTAATAATTATTTGTACTTTTGTGAAGTATAAATTGATTTTACTCATTTTTATAAAGCACTCTCCAAAATTCTTATCTTCCAAAATCTTGAACAAGAAATCCCAGTTAAAATTGCCAAAGGCCTTGTCTGCATCTAAGAAAACCAATGCTGCTTGTTTTTCATTATGTTGCTACAAATATTCCAAAGTATCCAACATATATCTAACATTTTATTAAGATGTAAGCAAAAAATATGGAAATAGAAGTTCAGATAGACTTGAATATTGCGGAAAAGCATTTCTTGATAAAAGTGAATATTTTGCCTAGAATGATGTTTCTGTTTCAGACAATACCTGTTTTGATAATTGATGTGCCATTGTATCAGTGGCAGAACGATTTGTCTACATTTATGTGGCAGGAGAAAAAAACATGAGTTAAATATAAAATGTTACAAGATGCAAAAGAAAGAGGATGATTGGTTCTCCCTGATTTGAAATTTTGCAGCTTGCTGTTTGGCTTGGTTGAAACAGTAGTTGCTGCTGAGAAATAGAAAGCTTTTGGAATTCCAAGGAACCTGAGATTTAAGTGACATGGATATTTATGGTATGACAAAGTCAAGCTTAATGTGGATTTTAAAAACCATATCGTACATGTCATGTTAACAATAAGGAATAGATACAAACCCAGGTTGTGCTTGAAAATTCAAGAATGCTCTCAGCACACAAAACATTTTATAATTGAAAAATAATAAGACAAACCCAATGGATAACTTATTCTGATATAGTAGATTTTTTTTCAAGCGGAAAGTAAAATCAAGAAAGTAACTAGTGATAGAAGGATATACCCTGTTTTCCTGAAAGTGCTACTCTGAAAATAAGCCCTAGCTTCATTTTTGGGGTGGGCCTAATATAAGCCCTATCCCCA